CCCTCCCCAACGAAAAGGGTTCCTTCTTCAGGGCCCCGACTGTAGGCCCGCGCCTTGGACGCCACTCCCCCTCGACAGTGCATTCCGGTCAACCTGCACAGTAAGGACGCACGATAAGGAAATGCAAGGGCCTTGGAAGGCCACGTCGAAGCTTCTCGAGCGGGGCGCGGCCAGCGAACGTGGCCAAGGATGGACCGAGGAGGCAAGGATGCAGGGGTGCCCTCGGGAAGGTTGCCCATCCTTACTGCGTGGGTTGACTGCACACGTGCGCATGGGTGTGACGATGGATCCGCGCCTCCGAGGCCACGGCGCCTCCTGGCATGACAACGAGAAAGCCCACCGCTCCGGGGGGGCCGCGGCCCGGCCGACACCTGCTTCACAGGGTGCGTCTCGGTGAGGTTCAGCCTGTAGGCCTTGCGCGGGCCCTGCACCCAACTCCTCTGATGCTGGACCAAATGCTCCGTCATGCTGTGCTTCCAGGTGGGGCGGCGGCGCGGTTCCCTTACACGTGCTTGCCATGCCGCAGATGCTGCCCCCGAAGCTACACCCGCGGGTCGTGCCAGTGTTCCTCCTGCTCCTCCTCTGCCCCTCTCCATTTCGCTCAGGGCTGAATGGCCTCTGCTGTCCCTCGACTCGCGCTGGAGATTCCACGGTCTCTCCGGATTGACCTGGATATCTCTGGATGTACCTCGATGTATATGGGTGTGCCTAGATCTATGTTGATGTGCCTAGGTGCGTTCCGACATACCTGGATGTGTCTTGATCTATCTAGCTTGATCCTGGTAAGTCGACTCGAGAAGAGTCGTCAAGCTCTCAGGGACCATCTCTCTCCCTCACTCCTCCTTCCTCGCCCTCCTCCCTCCCCCCTATCCACCTCCACCCCGCCCTGCCAGCTCCTCCTGACCCTCCCCCCTCTCACTCTCCTCACTGTCCTCCCCACCCTCATCCTCATCGTCGCCCTCCTCCCAGCCTCACCCTCATTAGTACATGCTCCTTGTTGCCGAAAAGAATACTAAATGGCTCCCAATTTGGCGCGGCGCACGTCTTTCGCGCGCAACCTCGCCGATGCCCGAACGAACGGCAACGTCGCTCTCGCTTCCACGCCGCGCAGATGTCGCCTGCGACTGGTGTTGCCGCCCCGACGCGGCGCACAGTCTTGAAGGGGCCCTGGGACACACAAATTAGATACACACAAATGGCATGATCCCCCATATTTTCGTATGTGTTCTGGGGTTTAGTCTTCCCCCCCACTTCCTATATTCTCCAATATTTTCTGGGGAATCGAAGATTAATTGTGTCTGTGTGCATTTTCCCCTCCTGCAGTTTGGGCGGCCCGTGCGACCGGGTGCCGCGTCGCCCATCGCGGCGGCCCCCGTGCGCACGCCGCTCGGGAGCGGCGTTTCGCCGCGCGGGCCCTGCGCGCGGGGTTCGTTCGCCGAACGCGCACGGAAACCGAGGTCGTTCGAGTAGAGGAAAGAGAACTATGCACATACACCGATTCTGGCCAGGCCCATCCTGAGCCCAGGATCGGTGCATACGCCCTCCTACCTTGGCTAAGAACGTATATGCACCGATCCTGGGTTAAGGATGGGCCTTGCCAGGATCGGTGCATGTGCACAGCTCCCTTCGCCCGATCGAAAAAGCGTCCGAATTTGAAGGGGCCCTTGGGACACACAAATAAATACACACACGCGCACACAACAAAAAAGGATCCCCCATATGTTCCCATATGTTCTGGGTCTCTGTCTTCCCCCCCACTGCACATATTTTCTCGTATTTTCTGAAGGATCGACGAATAATTATGTCTGCGTGTTTTCCCTCCAGAGAACTGCCGACCTCGCCCATGACACCGCGCACCTTGTGAGCGAAACGTGGCGGTGTCGTGCTCGCGCGGCGCATCCTTGCGTATTCGCCGCGCCCATCGGAGAAGGTGTGCCGTTCCCGCCTGGGTGCTATTCCTCTTCGCCGAAGTCGGATATGGGGACCGCGCGCACGAGCGCGTTCTGTCTGCGACGTGGGAGCGCGTTCCATATCCCAATGCGTCTGTCGGTGCGACACAACTGGTTGATCAATTGCGGGGGGGACAGTGGGAGTAGGCTGGGCCCCCAGGCGCACCCGACCTGAATCATTTTGTGTCCGTATCCCCCACTGATAAATGCTCTTTTCTGCCACCGAGCTGGCCGATAGCAATCCAATCCTGATGGTCCCAATCCTGCCTGTCAACAAAGAACACGGTATATACACACGCGCACGAAAACCACGCGCGCTGCGCGCGCGCTTAAGTTCTAGTTGAGGCCCCAACGATTTGCGACGCACGGAACATGATGGCTGCGAACCTCATTGAAGCCCGTCCTCGTCCTAATGGGCGTCCCCGTCGTCGTCCCAGCTTGTTTATTTTTGTTCCCTCGTCCTCCGCGGCCCGTCTGGCACTGGATCCTGGTCCTCTGGACCACTGGGCTTTACCTATCATGGGAAGCATTTTGAGCAGCATCTAGAAGCGAATCCAGGCGAGAAGCGCCATCAACATCTGCATTCTCATCGTCACCATTAAAGGCCCCATGTGCTCATCAGCACGACCAAGGACGTCTTCATCATCACGTGCTCACTGGCATCACCATCGTCTTTATGATATCCGTCGCCATCATCGTTCTCTCATCATCGTCGTCTTCGTCGTCGTCATCGCCATCGTCATCGTTATCGTAACCTCACGGGCTCCAAAGAAGCGTTTCGGAGCACGTGGAATGGGGGCCGGCAGACATTTTCATCATCACCATTATCATCGTCATCGGAATCACCATCATGAACATCCGCATCGCCATCGTCATCCGCATCGCCATCGTCATCGTCATCCTCATCGTGATTGTACGTGATACGAGAAAGGCGTGGTCTTCATGGGCGTGGTCGGCTTGACGAAAATCGTCACCATCCCCTTCTACTCACAGCTCTGTTCATCGCCCTCATGATCGCCGTCGTCATTCTGGCCCTCATCATCACACCCGTCATCGCCATCGTCGTCGCCATCGTCAGCGCTTCGTTATCGTGAGTTTACGAGTTCCGAACGAGCGTTTCCAGAGCACGTGTAATGTGGATTGGCGGGCATGTTCATCATCACCATCACCATCATCAGCAGCACCATCGTCATCGTCATGAACGCAATAATCATCATCGTCGCCGTCGTCGCCATCATGGTCGAAGTCGTTTTCGTCCGCCATGGAACTGTACTGGGCCGCCATAAAGAGGTTATGGGCGTTCGTGGGCGCTCGTGGGGACATCTTGGGGGCCCGCGGGGGCGGTTTTGGGAGCCTCGCGGGGCCGTCTCGGGTAGTCGCGGGGCCCTTTTTCGGGTTGTCTCGGGCCCACTTCGTGCGTCTTGAGGCGGTCTGAGGAAAGATGCACGGGGGGGTCGAGGCGCGTTCGAGGCGCCCTCGGTTTTCTGGCGGGTGTCCTGGGCGCCCTGGGTCGTCACCGCGGTGGGGGGGGGGGGGCCTCTCTGGGCCACTTTGGATAAGGAAGCCGCCGGGGGGCCCCCTAGACCTGTCCAGCGCGGCCAAGAGCGAGCAGGATCACGGAGCAACGGGCGACGACGACGACGACGGCGCCGCGGCGCCAGGAAGGCAGGGAGACTGGGAACGGGAGGGCGAGAGGGTCGAAGGGAAAGTGGAAGTGGGGAGTGGGGAGATGGAGAAGGGAAGGAGGGGCGGCGACAGAAGAAGCGGAGGGGAACTGACTGAAACAAAAAATTCCGCCGCTCGATGTTTCCTCGGAGCTCGGGGCTGAGCGCGCGTCGAACCCTTCGTCGACGCGCCCGCGGGCCAGGCGCCCTTATCCGAACATCGCGAAGGAAAGCACAATGACCCTAAACAGACCGCGGGCCGCGACGCGCAGCGCTGGCGCGGACAAGGCGCGCGAACGCACCGCCCTGGGCGCTGCGAAAACTGACCCGGCGGGGGAGGAACAGGAGGGGGAGGGGGACGAGGAGGACGACGATGATGATGATGATGATGAGGAGGAGGAGGAGGAGGAGGAGGAGGAGGGGGAGAGCGAAGGCGGGGGGGATGGGAGGAGATGCGAGCAGGGACAGACAATTCACCGCACCGCGGATGGACCGGCATCCCCCCTGGCAGAAGGGCGGCCCGCGAGCGCGCAGGCGCCTCGGACCATGTCCGAGGCGCTCGCGCCGAGGACCCCGCGCGAGCGACGGAGGAGGAAGGGGGAACAAGAATGAAGCAGAAGAAAAAGAAGCAGAGAGGACGAGCAGCGCGGACGCGGGTGCTCACATCGGGCCAGCCACGGCACGCAGGCCCGCCAGCACTCAGGAGACGAAGGCCATGCACAGACCTGGGCAACGGGCGCCATCTGCATCGTCATCCTCATCGCCGTCATCAAGATCTTCATGCGCAGCATCAACACCACCACCGGCGCCATCATCATCTTGTACTTGTTACAAGGCAGTTTGTAATACGCGGGATTTAATATATATATATATATATATATATATATATATGGGCCTTGCTTTTTCTGCATGGCCAGCAAGGCGTGGTGTGGGACGAATCTGATGCTCTGCAGAGGCGGCCACACTCTCAAGCCGGAGACGCGACAGATGAGACGAAACACACTGCATGCACTCCTGATCGAAAGCGGCCCTTCGGGCAGCCGAGAGGATGAGAAACAAAAACAGGGCGGTGGTCGGGGCTGGACGGTTGGTTGCTTTGAGCCACCGTGTTTACGGATGAGACCAGAGGCAAACGAGGACCTCAGGACGAGCGGCCTTCACCGAAACGCGTGCCGAGATTTCCGTACAAGTACAACGCATCTCTGGGCCTTGCTTTTTCTGCATGGCCAGCAAGGCGTGGTGTGGGACGAATCTGATGCTCTGCAGAGGCGGCCACACTCTCAAGCCGGAGACGCGACAGATGAGACGAAACACACTGCATGCACTCCCGAAACTCGATCCAAAGATGTCAACTGGCTGGTAGGACCAGCCGCCGAAAACACGAGTCCTGTGAGATATTACGGCATTACTATAGGCTTGGGCGAGGGCGTTGCACAAACGCTGAGGGTAAGCCTCGGCCAGCTTGGTTTTAAAGACGCGCTCCACGTTCTTTCCATGCAGCTGGGCGTGCGGCAAGCCAGTGCGGGAACAAATTCCTCTCTTGGACGACTTGCACAACGCACGACCGATGCGACTCATATCGAGGTTGACTGTGGCGAAAGCCGTGGCTTTTCGCCACGGCGCTCCCCACTGACAGAAGTGCGTGATAGTGAAAGTGACGGCCGACGAGCGCAGCAGGCGGACGAAAGGAGGGGCGAGCCAAAGTCGGCTCGTCTGGGGATTCTCATTACTAGCTGGGATGTTGGCCCTGATGGCCTCGTGCATGAGGCCAGCGCTGAAAATCATGAAAACGTTGCCTGCATCAACCTTGGCCTGATCTTTCACGCTCAAGTCGGGAAGGCCAAGAGGGAAAGCGTCACTACGCAGCGGCATCGGTCCGGGCGGGATGTCCCGCGCACGGCTCCATGTGTTGCAGGGCGTCCCGATGTGGATGCCAATTACGAGCCCGCTTCGAACCCAGGACCGGATCAGCCCACGCTTCTGCGGGCTCAGCAGGTCATACTCGGGGCCCAGGCAGATGTCCCAAAGCAGGACGGGCAGCCCTTCAGCGGCGACCGCCCGTCCCAGGCGCCCGGAGCCGCTGAACACTTCCAGGAAGAAGCGGGTCTTCAGGGAGGCGTAAATGGGCAGCGCCGGCCAGACACGATCTCGCCGAGCGAGTCGGCGCACCGCGCTGCGTGGTCCTGCATCGCAGCGGGCACCATCTGCAGCACCTGCGACAGGCGAGCGCCTTTCTCGTATCGGCGGACCGAATGCCACGACTGCCACCGGCCTCTGCGCTGGACGTCGACGAGGGACCTGGCCTTGCTGCCGTAGTCGTGAGACGCGCCCCCGTGCCTGAGCATGTAAGGGTGCAGGCCGGGCAGGAACTTCTCGATCCCGAGGGCCTTGGCGGCGGCCGAGAGGGCGCTCGAGACCTCGCGCTGCGTGATCGCGAACAGCAGAGGCTCCGGGGCCGCGCCGCTCGCGCGGCCGCCCGCGCCGGCGCCGCGCGCCGCCGTGGGGCGAGGCCTCCGCCAGTCGGGGCCGAGCCGCGCGGTCACGGAGGCCTCCAGCGCCGGGCCCAGCAGCTCCTGCCGCGGCAGGTCCAGCTTCAGCGCCTCGTCGTACTCGGCGGTCTTCGAGAGCACCTCCGTCTCGGCGGCGTGCAGAGTCACGCTCCAGCTGTCGTGTCCCAGGCGGCCGCGAGCCGGGCGAACCAAGTCGGTGGCCCGGATGTGGTACGGCTCGCTTGGGCGCAAGTACAGCTCGAAGCTCAGCCACAGCACGAGCGCCGCCTCGAGCTTCGAGACGCTCACGAGGTAGCTTACCAGCGCGGCCAGCAGCTCGAAGGGGAGCGGGAGCCGCGAGGTGGGCGGCGCCAGCCGACGGAACCCGCGCAGCGCCCGCCGCGCTCGCGCCATCGGCGAGCCCGCCGCCTTCGTCAGCCCCAGGAAGAAGAGCACCGACGCGAAGAGCTTCTGCCCGGCCCCGATCCCCTCGCCGTCCAGGTAGAGCTCGTCCAGGCGGAGGACCAGCTGCTCGTCGTAGTCGTCCAGCGTCGTGGGCTGCACGCCCCGCTCTGCCATCCAAGCCTGGAAGCCGTCGAAAGCCTCCACGTACTGCGCCCGCGTCGCCGCCGTGATCGATCCCGTCTCCAGCACGCTCAGGCCCGGCAGCTGCACGGCCGCGGAGCGCCGGCGCGCCGCCGCCGCCGCAGTCGCCGCCACCCGACGCCGCTTCCTCGCTGGCGGGCTCGCCGCGGCAGGACGCCGCCGCGGCCCCCTCGCCCGAGCCGCCGCCCGCCGAGCGGGCGCATCCGGGGGCGAGGGCAGCGGCGCCCCGGCGACGCGCACGGCGGCTGGCGGCCTCGACGTCCTCGGAGGCCTGAACGTAGACCGGGTCAGCGTCGCCGAGGCCGTCTGGGCGCGCGGCGGCGCCGCGGGCGGCCGCGCCCGCGCCAACATCGGCAGGCTCCCCGGGCGGCCCAGCGGCGCCTGGCCCCGCCGCGCCAGACTTGGCCCGAGGCAGCAGCGGCTGGGGGGTCGAGGGGGAGAAACGCCCCCTCGAGGGGTTGTCGGCTGCATTCCACTCTGAGGGCAGCCAGCGGTAGTGGAGGGTGGTGGCAGTGACAAGGGTGACGGCGGCGATGGCCTGAGTGACTCGGAGCATTTTGCAAGAACTGCTCCTGAAACGATCCACGGCCCCGGCCGCGCTCAAAGAGTCGCCCAGCACCACGACGCGCCGGCCACGGTGCCGCGAGGCTCTCACGAGATGCTGGAGCCCGTGCAGCACGGCCCTCGCCTCGGCGACCGGCATGCTCTCCTCCGGCCAGCGCCAGCGGTGGCGCCCCACGGTGCGCCAGGGCAGCTTGATCACGTCCGGCGGCACCTCGTCGAACGCGCTCCCGGCGGCCCCCTCGGCTGCGCCGGCGGCCTGGGTCTGGGGGTTGTGACTATGGAGGGCGGAATCCTCCCCCCCCAGCCCGTCGCCGCCGGCATGCCGCGGAGGAAAGCCCGCGGCCGCGACCGCCTCCGCTCCCAGCATCCACGGCGCAGCGTCGGCGGGGTCGCCCGCCAGCGCGGCGGCGGCCGCCGCGGCCCCCGAGTGCCGGCGTGGCGCGGAGCCCGCCAGCCCATGGTGCCACCTCCAGCGCTCGGAGACGTGGCCCAGCCTCTGCACCAGCGAAGCGGGGGCAGGGGCAGCGCAAGCCCCGATGCCCCACTCGCTCGCGTCGACCACGATGAGCTCGTCAGTCCAAGGCGAACGGAGGCTGCGCCACAAGAGGGGAGCGATGCCGTCCCAGTACTCCAGCTCACGCCGGACAGCAGGCCAAAGTCCGGTCTCCTTGTCATAGCACTTGCGGACAAAGGCGTAGCAGCTCCAGAACAAAGACATGCCCTCGCGCTTGATAAGAGATATAAATACCAGATGCCCGAGGAGCTTCTCGAGGTCGCGTCCCCGAAGACGGCCACGGCCGAGGACACCTCGAACGGCCAGGCGCGCACGCCACAGCCGGGCCCGCGTGGGCCGCACGATGCACCGTCCTCGGTCAATGCACCACCCCAGCGCCTCCGACTCACCAGGCAGCTCGCCAGCATGGTCCTCGGCCTTCACCTCGAGCCCGCGGGCGCGCAGCGCGTCAGACACGCGCCGCACGAGCGCCGCCACCCACTCGGAGTCGGTGCCGATCGCGATGAAGTTGTCGACGTACTCCAGGTGGGCGCCCGGCGTCATCGGCGGCGGCGGCCGGCGGTCGACGATCCGCTGCTCGGGGCAGGCGCCGGCCTCGACGCTGGTGCGCTCATGCACGCGCTGGCACCACCACAGCGCCCAGCTCCACCCCATCGGCAGCACGGCCAGGCGCGGCGTGACAAGAGCGCCCCGGCCGAGTGGCTTCCCGCCGAGGAGCTTGATGCCAACCGCCGAGGCGCGCACGGGTCGGAAGGAGAAGCACCCCCTCAGCTCCTCAGGCAAGCCCATGTGGTAAAAGGCGTCGCTGAGGTCGGCACCCTGGATGTGGAGCTCGTCGTTGAGGCCCAGCTCCAACCTCGAAAGGGCATCGCCCGTGCACAGGCTCACTCCGGCCGGCTCAGCGAACCAAGCGTTGGCCCTCCGGCAGTCTATCACCATGCGCAGCCTCTGGTCTTTCTTCTCCACGAAGAAGGCCTCGACGGACTCGATGCCAGACTCGGCGAAGTCGACGAGGCCACGCTCTTGCAACATACGAATGAATTCCTCATACGCACCCCGACGCCGCAAGGCTGGGTCAGAGTACGCCCGCTCCAGCCCCACGCCCTGCAGTCGCTGCTTCGCCCTCTCGGAGCACAGCAAATTCTGTGATATAAAATCCTTCACGGTGTCACTCCCGCCGCTCCCCCACAGAGTCTCCAGCGGAATCGGCCGAACCGTGCCAGAGGGCAGTGAGATCGCGTCGGGGCGGTAGGATCCGAGCTTGGCAGAGTCCACGTCGTACCAGCTCGCCACGCGAAGCTTCCGAAGAGCCTCTGCGGGGGTGAGCCCCGGGGGCGGCGCTCCCAGGGCCCGCGCCGACTCCTCGACGAAGTCGATGGCCTCGCGCTGCGCGCGCGAGACGAAAGCACAGGCTGGCGCGCCCTGGACAAGAGCCGGCTGAGGCGCATGCGAGAACATCCCGTTGAGGCTGCGCACCGCTCGGTCACAGTCCAGCTCCATAGCAGCACGCGCGCCAACCCGCTGCCGCACCGACCTGCTAACAGCGCCTGTCTCCCCGGAGAAGGCGCCGACGGGCCGACGTGGCAGAGGAAAAAGATCGCGAGGAACATGGCGGTCGTCACCCGCGTCAAAACTGCGGCCACCAGCGAGGGGCGGCCTGGGGCTCGGCAGGCGGCTGGACCCCGCCCCTGAAGGGCCCAGCCGGCGCGAGTCAGGAGTCATTTCTCCTTGGGCCCTTTGCGGAGGGCCTCCCGCTCTTCTCGTGCAACTCTCAGGTTCTTGGCCAGCTTCGCCTCCCGCTCCACCTCGGTGCGGACGTAGTCCAGCAAGTCCGGGCAGATCATGAGCGTTGACGAGGCCCTCGTGGTCCCAGCGAACGCGTGCTGCTCCCCCAACGACATCTTCCCCTGGTAGCTCTTCGATTCCGCCTCCCTCGCCCGCTCGGAGTGGCCGAACTCTATCGTCTGGAGCCGCCGGAACTGGTACTCGACCATGATCAGGTTGCTCCCGTCCAGCTGGTCCACCAGCAGCCCCTGGGTCAGGGCCTGGCAGATGTTGAAATGCTCGAAGACCCCCCACGAGTTCCAGTCGAGACGGCAGGCCGTCTTGAAACGCTCGTGGTGGCCCAGCAGCCCGCTCCCCTCCTGGTTGATGAACTCTATGCACCACAAGCTCGAACGCGGCCCCGGCAGCTGCCAGTCGGCCCCGAAGCTCTCCTGCTTCAGGACGGCCGTCATCTCCGCCCAGGTCCGCTCCCGCTTGTCCTGGCGGTTGCGGCGGATCGGTGTGATCCGAGCATCCGTGGCCACCGCCCGATCGAAAAACTCGGCCTCGTCGGTTGGGTCGACGTGCTCGACGAAGATCCCGACGCCATCCGGGAGTACGTGGATGTCCCGCTTGCCGACGGCCAGCCCGCTCCTCGAGTGGTCGGTCACGACGTCGCCGTACCGGTAGGGCCCGGCCGCCATCGCCGCCCGCCACTCGGCGACAGGAGGCCCAGCGGCAGCGCCCGGCGCAGCCCCCTGCAGAGGCCCGATGCGAGCAGCCCGAGGCGCGGCCGGAGCCCCGCCCGGCACCGGCAGCGGCCGCAGGAAGACGAGGTTCGCCAGCAGCCTCGGATCGCCTCGAGCGGCGGCGATCCGCTGGCACTCGGCCTGCGCCTCCGCCTGGGCGTCGGCCAGCGCCCGCGCCCGCTCCTGAGCTGTCGGCTGCTGCCTGAAGCGGTACACCCGCCCAGGAGGCACCCCAGCGGGCACCGCGGCCCACGCCCCGGAGAAGCGGACGGCGGCCACGTCCACGCTGTCGTCCCCGTAGTCCTCCGCGTAGACGTCGCCGTCTGGGGTCAGGACGACGTAACTAAAATCCGACAACCCCACGAGCCCCAGAATCAGCCTCTGGTGCCACAAGTGCTCGTCGTCGGCGTACAGCACGAAGGCCCACTCCCTCGCCCTCGGCGGCGCCGCTGCCATCCTCGCCCTTCGTCAGGCGCTTGGCGCAGCTCAGCCCGCCGCGCACCACCCCCTGGCCGAGCACGGCGAGAAGGCACCCGAGCACCACGCCGAGCACCAACCACCACCCCGGCCCCAGCCCGCCCCAGGCCGGAGCGCCGGCGCGCTCGACCTCCGTCGGCGCGGGGCAGCTCTGGCTCTCCGGCGGGGGCCAGGCCGGCGCTGCCGGCGCGGCGGCCCCGCCCGGGCAGCTCGGGCACGCCGGGCACGGCGGGCACGAGCACGAAGCCAGTGCCGGGCA